CTTACGCCGAGCGGTTAAGATTTGTGCCCAACTGTTGACGGAGGCACGGACGGACGGACGATCATGCAATTCTACAAGCTGCATCTGACTTCGTCAGCTGAGCTAATAAAACTATGAGTTTATGAAGATATATTGCTAATTTCGCCATTTTAAACGAGTTTTAAGCAAGAATGAGGGCAAACAGGAGAAACCTAGGATGAAGCAATGAAAATGAGAAATCACCAGTCTGGTAAATCTACGTGAAAGGTAACATCATTAACTCTTTCTGATACATACAGGGTGCGCCACAATCACGTGCGTTCGATTTTTCAGTTTCTCTGAGAACGTAGATGGTAGCAGGCAGCTGGTTGAGCTTGCCAACACGCAACCAGGTGGCGCCACTGCATCGAGCTGCTCGAAAAGTCTCTTTTTCAGCTCAAGGTCTTCTGGGACACATTCCTACAATATGAAGATAAGAGTTGTACTGTGTAAAACAAGATATGGTAATTTTACCTGTTTGCTGATGCTGCTACCCTTTTCCCCATCCCTCCCCTCCGATATCTCTCTTTTCCTCTCTCTCTTTCTCTCTCTCGCTCATACACACACAACCACACATGCACATGTATACATTCATAAATGCATGCACGCACGCACGCATGCACAAACACACACACACCCACCCAGCTACACACACACACACACACACACACAGCTACACACACACGCATGCACGCACGCACGCACGCACGCACACACACACAGACAAACATACACACTTTCCCCTGCACATGCTCTCTCTTTCTCTCTGTCTTTCTATCTCACTCTGTCTATCTCCCTGCCTCTCTTCCTCCCCGCATCTGTTCCTTCCTTGTCTCCTTTGTCGCTTCTACAAGCAGAGAATTTACCTGCACATGTATAGCTCCACTGACGCAGCTTTTCAGGTCGCTAGACGAAGATATTAGCGCCCTCTGTTGAGCTGCGTTCAATGTTCCCCGCAATGTTCCTTCCTTCTCATGTCTCTTGAGCTCGGCCTCTATAAATTCAAGTGCTGCCAGGATCTGCGGTGGCCAAAAATGGAAACGACGTAAGGCAGGGTGCGAAATTATCACCAGGCCACCGGCATAAAGCCAGCAAATAATTTGGAGAGCCAGTAACATTGGCAAAACACCGGCCCTCCGTCTGTGCCGGAGGTTTCAGCCGTGTCAGCGAGAACCTACATTTTTATTTATAGCATTAATGAGCAAACTGTTATATAAAATTATTACAATACTGTTTTACCTGAAGGATATCATGCCATAATTTATCAACATTTTACAAATTTAAAATCGAGAATGCAAGCGTGAAACATGACATGACAAAAACACTTCGGACATCATTCATGAGATCTGCATTACGTTTAATGGTATTAGAAATAGTCATTCGTAAAAACAAGATTTGTACTAGTTTTTGTTTACTTGAACGGACACGATCCATGCGATTTATCGGTGTTTTTAATTGGCCTAATACATCCAATCAAAGTTATCCACCAAAATTAGAAAACTACCAGATTCATTTATGGATAAGCAGGAAGCAGAAACCAACAGTCCATACTACAACTTACTGTGCAAGCAATGTTAACTATAGCTAATATCATAGATTCCAAAGGTCATAGGAAGATGTCAAAAATGATTAGGTTTGTGTACATATATGCGGGATATTACACAAGTAAAGTAAAGTAAAATTTATTTTCATCGGTATATCATGAACATTGTAACATAAGCTAAGAGCTTTTGCACCGATATCAAACAAGAATAAAAGATATTGACACATGAACTTAAATATGCAATCGGGAAAAGGCGATAAGCAGATTGGTTCGTCGCATAATCCAAATATGAACGCCACGTGAACTGCATTGCCATTCATCACGGAAACGTTTTAAACAGTCACAAGGGTTTCTAATACATAAAAGGCGCACCACCATTGTCAAATTTAACATAACCGTTGGGAAAATGTTCTGAATTTACGCCAGTCCCCCTGCAGCGTCCGCATGAGTACCTACGGCACGCCTTTGAATCCACTGGCCATTACCTCCTTTGTCTAATTTTCCCTCAGAAAAACCCTTGGCCACTAACTGGTAGTTGTTCATGTAGGTATCATTTCGTTTGTCATGATTTGAGGTAAGCAACACTGGTCTGAAACACTCATACGCTGGAATATCTATTTGTCACCTACTTGTGACACCAATGCAAATGCTGTGCACCTCACTATGAGAACACGTATGTACATATCACACTGAGCTGTACATTTTTAATTAAGCAGCAATAATCTCTTTCTCAGCTAATGTGTGTGGGCGTGCGTGCGCGCATGCGCATACATGTGCATTCGTGAGGTGTGTATGTGCATGTATGGATGTTTACATGCATGTGTTGCATAAATGCTTGTATGTTTGGCGTGAGTGCACGTTACACACGGTGCGTGCATGTGTACATATATACGTGTCTGGTTGGTATGCCCACTGATATATGTACAACTGATTGAACATTGCTTCCAATTTTGATAACAGTGGCTGGACGTGAATTGTGACTACTCGTCACACCACAATCCTGTAGTGCATACTGACACACAACCTCAAATAGTACAGCAAATATAACTGCAATCCAGTGCTACTCATAGCGTGAAGAGGACATTTGACTTGCACTGACTAAGAGTTCACATTTGATACCCAAGTTACCATATATATCGTCACGAAAAACAACAACAACGAAACGCTTCCCAAATGACACTGACACCCATTACCAGTGTTTCCCCTGCATTGACACGAGCGAGGCGGGCCGCCTGGCCCAAATTCTCAGCAGCCACACAGAAATTTGTCCAAAACACCGCCTCGCTGACAAAAATCACTGTTCTTCCATAGAACAGTGCTTATAATGCACCAAAAATAGCTTAATTAGAATGCACCAAATCGCGCACACCATTTTTTTAATTTTCCTGCGGTGCTAGGACCTCGAAACGCGCAAACCCACCATAGGAAAATTTACCACCTCACAGACCTTTATGTCCAGGGGAAACACTGCTAAGGAACCTGATGAGGAATCTTCACAGTATAGCCGGCTACACTGTAGCCTATGGTACGATGAAACAGACCGGAGCTGGCACAATAAACAAATTGGCTTTATCCAGACACTCTATTAAACTCAACTCCACCATTATTTAGCCAAATTTCGACAATCACCGAACGTAAACCATTGCACGAGCAACGTTCGCGGCCGCAAACAAACCGAAATAGTGGCGATGCTAGTGAACGAGCTCCAGTCTGAATTTCCCCACTGGGTTTCCCTCATACTTTGCTGTACAGATGGACCTGCGGTGGAGCGAAAAGCTACATGGGCAGAGGGGATGTTAGCTGTAGAACTATAGCCCTTTGCTCTGCCACAGTGCAGTGTGCATGTCGCAGAGCGAAGGGCTGTAGTTCTAGAGCTAAGGGATGTTAGATACAATAATGTAATCCAACAAGAGTACGGCTGTGGGGTGTATAATGTACTCTTGTTAATGTACTAATGTCTTAGCGTGGCTGTTATACATACAATACTGTAATCCAACGTGAGTACAGTAATGTTAATGTACTCTTGTTAATGTACTAATGTCTTAGCTGGGCTGTTACATACAATACTGTAATCCAAATTAAATGTACTCTTGCAATGGCTCGATCTCCCCTACTCTTGTTGGGTTACATTATTGTATCTAATGTGCTGTCGGTGAATGTCTGTCTGTCTGTCACGAAGTGAATGGCTACATGGGCAGAGGATCTGTCAGCGAGGATACGCTGACGGAAGCATCGGTGATGATTAATCTAAGTCGCATGCTCACCTGTTTCGGCTCGACGTCGTAGACGCAGACGGGGTGACCGACTGCGGCGAATAGCATCGACCAGCCCCTGCCTATCAGTCCGCTACGAAGACAAGCCAAGGTTAACACGACAGATCACATTTCGTTATTATCTCCATTCCTTTTTAGCTAATTGCAATTTTGAAGCTTTTTCTACTGCGATCCGCAGTGTTGATCTGTCCATTTTATCAACTATATGTCTCTTACCTGTCTTACCTCTTACCTCAAGATTACGTCTCTTACCTCTTACCATCTCTAACCTGCCTCTTTATACTCCATTTGACTTTGAAGCCAATTATTTACGAGGTTACAAGGTTACAACTTTATTACTGAAACCCGAGACTCGAGAGCGTAGACACGGTGGATCAACCGACATAGTTCATACAGGACTGAAAAAATTTTCAAGGACTTTTCAAGGACATTTTATCAGAAATTCAAGGACCAACCTAGATCACATTAATAAACCCTTCTAAACACTGTCACTTCTAGAACATACCTTGATTTACTGACAGATTTTACTGACTTACTGTAATTTGTGATCATCATTTAACTGTCTATATCGTGGCTATAGCTTTTTAAGCTCATTTAACGCAATTTTTATTGAGGTTTGCACATTATATTGTTGGTACAAAATTTCTTTTTATTACAGGCAAATGATTCTTTCATGAAATTCAAAGACTTTTCAAGCACAAAACAACATTTACTAAATTCAAGTACTTTTCAAGAACTCACCTCAAATTCAAGGACTTTTCAAGGACTGTGCGAACCATATGAAGCACACATTAATTGTTGGCAGTGGCTACGGGTACGGTAGCCGTATTTTAATGTCTCGAGGCTACGGGTACGGGAGTCCATTCGCTTGGGTTTGTCTATATTCAGGCCGGTACAGGAGATAATTTGCATATTTTGTCACGTCGTTTGTGTTATAACCAATGAGATGTAATCGCGATGGAGAAGGAGGGGAGAAGCTGGCGGAGGAGGTGGTGGAGAAGGAGGAGGTGGTGGAGAAGGCGGAGGTGGTGGAGAAGGTTGCAGGGAGGTGCCCTTCTCCCTGGCACCACCTTCTCCCTTCTCCACCACCTTCACCACCACCCTCTCCACCACGTCCTCCTTCTCCACCAGCTTCTCCCTTCTTCCCTTCTTCATTCTCCACCAGCTTCTCCCTTCTTCCCTTCTTCATTCTCCACCAGCTTCTCCCTTCTTCCCTTCTTCATTCTCCACCAGCTTCTCCCCCTCCTCCTTTCAGAATGTAACGGTAACCACACATATATTTTGTTTTGGCCTAATACAGATCTAAAATCTATGATAGGCTTTGCTATACCTACTTGTAGTACAGTAATAAAGATACAGCTGTGTAACTTTAACGACTTCGCTATATTAAAGGAATAATAGGCCCATTGATTATGCAAAGTTGACGAATGCTACAGTAACTGGCACCTTGTGTAGTTAATAAGTTCATTACCTTATAGCCAAACGCGTACTAGTTTGTCCAATATCATTGCTGGTTACTAAGAAATGTCTAATTGAAATCCGCAGTCCAAGAAATCAGTTGACTGACTTGTTTACAGTTTCGAAACCGCATACGGTTAAACGGGTGTGATACAGATTTATAGTGCACCGGACATTTTCGCACGCATGCTCGGCCGTACGCAATGTTAGCGATGGTACAGTACCGTAACTGTATACGTAACAGTAGCTCTGATTGTAATGAACGTCGAATCTACATAGGAATCACTGACGCTCGTGATAATGAACTGAAGTAGGCTGTGTTTGGGGCCAATTACACTATGGGGGGATCGCCGACTAACCACGGCCACAGACTAAACATGGAAAGCAGACGGCACTATAGTGGGTATAGGCGTATTTACCTATATTGGTCAAACGAATACACCTGTGTCCGAAATTGAAGACATGTGGGTACCCGTTCATTAGCACCCACGGTCATTTATTTACTTGTGCCTCAATACCGAAAATACACCCAGAGATACATTCTAGTACTAGCTCATTAGTCGTTATAAGCATCCCAGGACAAACAATTCTCTGCTCAACACCCGTAGCAACATGTGACGTCACCTAACCGAATTCAAGGCTATTTTGCTTGGCAACCAATTTAGCGATGGTGCCAGATTACCAGATTTACGCATTTCAATTAGACATTTCTTAGTAATTAGCAGTGATATTGGACAAACTAATACGCATTTGGCTATAAGGTAATGTACTTATTAACCAGTGCTCGAAATAAGAAAAAAAATGTGGTTGTCCTGCGGACAACCCNTTTATCTTGTTCACTCTACGATCTTTGATAAACACCCACCAAAAACATCCGAACAGCGTTGTGGGAGTGAATCGCAGCGCTACCTATCTGCGAAAAACGTCAACTAACGAAACATGCTCAACCATAGTCGGTGCTCGTCACTATTGCAGATTTTTTCTCCATGGAAAAGACTAGCTGTCTTTGGTACATGTATTTATATTTGAATTGCATGCAATAAAGATTTAATAATAATAAATAATAATAACGTGAACTGCAATGTTGGTGGATGTGGCGAAGAAGTGAATCCACATGTGTGATGTCCATGAGTGATATCCATGCCAGTTTATGAGCATAATAATTAATATGTCCATGAGTGATATCGTGTGTCACATATTTCGACGAATATATACACGTATATGTATATGGGAGACTGATGCCAGAAATCCTCTGTCTGGGCTACCATGCAAGAGTGGGGGAACGGGGGGGGGGATACATTCCCACTTTCCCAGCAAAAAAACACCCCATATTATATATTTAATTAAATTATATAGATAGAGAGAGAGAGAGGGAGGGAGAGATAGAGAGAGGAGGGAGAGGAAGAGAGAGATAGCAAAAAAAGAAAGCGAGCCAGTGTGAGAGAGTGTGTGTGTGTGTGCGAGAGAGAGAGAGAGAGAGAGAGA